CCCCAAGTACCATTCGGTCTACATTCACTCCTATCTGACCACGCTCACGCACACTGCTGGATTCCAACCCCTCCCCCCACAAAACCCTCCTTTAAACCCCCTTTTCTCCAACCCTTCCGAGGACGCCCCAAACCCCGCCTTTCCCTTCCTACGGGATTTAAATGCTCTCCATGTCATTCTACTTTTGACCATTCTTCTAAATGACCAAACCAAAACCTCAACAACCCATCTTCTTGCCCACTGAATAATATTTTTAAATTAACCCCAAAACCTTAATTTCCACTCCGAATTTTCTGCATAATATTTACACACACATTGCCCTTAACAGGAATCTCAACTGCCTCCAACTGTCTCCTCGCTACTGCATTTACCACCCAAGCTTCACATCCATATAAGAGTGTTGGTACTACTATACTTTCATACATTCCTTCTTTGCCTCCATAGATAACTTTTTTTGACTCCACATATACCTCAAGCACCACTCACCTTTTTTCCCTCATAAAATTCTATGATTAACCTCACCCTTCATAATCCATCCGCCGACACGTCAACTCCCAAGTATCTGAAAACATTCACTTCTTCCATACTCCTCCTCCCCAATTTGATATCCAATTTTTCTTTAAATCATTTGATACCTTCATCACCCTACTCTTTTCTATGTTCACTTTCAACTTTCTACCTTTACACACGTTCCCAAACTCATCCACTAACCTTTGCAATTTTTCTTTAGAATCTCCCATAAGCACAGTATCATCAGCAAAAAGTAACTGTGTCAATTCCCATTTTGAATTTGATTCCCCATAATTTAATCCCACCCCTCTCCCGAGGGGTGGGACATTGGTGACATTACACATCCCTGTCTAAGACCGGGAAGTAGTCTCCTTCTCTTCTACACACCCTAACCTGAGCCTCACTATCCTCATAAAAACTCTTTACAGCATTTAGTAACTTACCACCTATTCCATATACTTGCAACATCTGCCACATTGCTCCCCTATCCACTCTATCATATGCCTGTTCTAAATCCATAAATGCAATAAAAACTTCCCTACCTTTATCTAAATACTGTTCACATATATATGTTTCAATGTAAACACTTGATCTACACATCCCCTACGCACTCTGAAGCCTCCCTGCTCATCTGCAATCCTACATTCTGTCTTACCTCTAATTCTTTCAATTATAACCCTACCGTACACTTTCCCTGGTCTCTTCTGTCTCCTTTCCCTTCATATAAAGCAGTGGTTTCCAAACTGGGGGTAAATTACCCCCTGGGGTAATTTAACCATTTTTGGGGGGTAATGGAGGGGTGACAGAAAAAAATTTATGAATTCTGAAAATCAAGAAAACAATGCGGTACCCGGTATGAGGATTATTGTTAACTTTGTCTTAGTATATTATAAGTAAGTAATAAAGTTAAACCAAATAACAATAAACATCAAAAACTAATATACAGTATTAGAAAAGAAGAAATATATAGCTAAGTGTGTGGAAACCCAAAAGTATTTTGACAAGTATGCTTAAGGACAAAAGTCACTCAGTAGCCCAGATCGACCTGTCCAGTACGCGTCACTCACTTCCTGAGGCTGCCTCTATTTCACACTGTCAGTTTATCTGTGAGCATCAGCCGAGGTAGACATAAGCTGGTATGTATGTGTACTGCCCTGTGCAGTATATAGTTAGTATTTACCCACTGTTACTGTGAATTTGTAGCTATTATAAATTTTATATATAATGTATGCGTGGTTCTTACGTTTTCAATGGTTTTGCTAGGATTAGCAGAGTATGCGAGGCTGTATATGTTCACGTTTAGCCATATATATCAATAATAACAGCATTTTGTGAAAGGGGTAACATGCTTTATGTGGCATGTTAAATTGGGTAACAAGCTGAAAAAGTTTGGGAACCACTGATATAAAGGGACTATGCATGCTCTCCGCCAATCCCTAGGTACCTTCCCCTCTTTCATACATTTATTAAACAAAAGTACCAACCACTCCAACACTATATGCCCCCCTGCTTTTTGTAGTAGGTAGTAGGTTGGTAGACAGCAACCACCCAGGGAGGTACTACCGTCCTGCCAAGTGAGTGTAAAACGAAAGCCTGTAATTGTTTTACATGATGGTAGGATTGCTGGTGTCTTTTGTCTGTCTCATAAATATGCAAGATTACAGGTATGTCTTGCTACTTCTACTTACACTTAGGTCACACTACACATACATGTACTCGTTTATTTGTACACACTCATCTGAGTTTTCTTACTTTTCCTTTTATATCCGTGGGGAAGTGGAATAAGAATCTTTCCTCCGTAAGCCATGCGTGTGCGTGTTGTAAAAGTCAACTAAAATGCCGGGAACAATGGGCTAGTAACCCCTTTTCCTGTAAATATTACTAAAAAGAATAAGAAGAAAATTGTCAAAGTGGGAAGTCTGAATGTGCGTGGATGTTGTGCAGATGATAAGAAAGAGATGATTGTGGATGTTATGAATGAGAAGAAGCTGGATGTCCTGGCTTTAAGTGAAACAAAGCTGAAGGGGGTGGGAGAGTTTCAGTGGAGAGGAATAAATGGTATTAGGTCAGGGGTTTCAAATAGAGTTAGAGCTAAAGAAGGAGTAGCAATAATGTTGAAGGATAAGCTATGGCAGGAAAAGAGGGACTATAAATGTATTAATTCAAGGATTATGTGGAGTAAAATAAAGACTGGATGTGAAAAGTGGGTTATAGTAAGCATATATGCACCTGGAGAAGAGAGAAGTGTAGAGGAGAGAGAGAGACTTTGGGAAATGTTGAGTGAATGCGTGGGGAGTTTTGAATCAAGTGTGAGAGTAATGGTGGTTGGGGATTTCAATGCTAAAGTGGGTAAAAATGTTATGGAGGGAGTAGTAGGTAAATTTGGGGTGCCAGGGGTAAATGTAAATGGGGAGCATTTAATTGAGCTATGTGTAGAAAGAGATTTGGTAATAAGTAATACATATTTTATGAAAAAGAGGATAAATAAATATGCAAGGTATGATGTAGCACGTAATGAAAGTAGTTTATTAGATTATGTATTGGTGGATAAAAGGTTGATGGGTAGGCTCCAGGATGTACATGTTTATAGAGGGGCAACTGATATATCGGATCATTATTTACTTGTAGCTACAGTTCGAGTAAGAGGTAGATGGGAAAAGAGGAAGGTGGCAACAACAAGTAAGAGGGAGGTGAAAGTGTATAAACTAAGGGAGGAGGAAGTTCGGGTGAGATATAAGTGACTATTGGCAGAAAGGTGGGCTAGTGCAAAGATGAGTAGTGGGGGGGGGGGTTGAAGAGGGTTGGAATAGTTTTAAAAATGCAGTATTAGAATGTGAGGCAGAAGTTTGTGGTTATAGGAGGGTGGGGGCAGGAGGAAAGAGGAGTGATTGGTGGAATGATGAAGTAAAGGGTGTGATAAAAGAGAAAAAGTTAGCTTATGAGAGGTTTTTACAAAGCAGAAGTGTTATAAGAAGAGCAGAGTATATAGAGAGTAAAAGAAAGGTGAAGAGAGTGGTGAGAGAGTGCAAAAGGAGAGCAGATGATAGAGTGGGAGAGGCACTGTCAAGAAATTTTAATGAAAATAAGAAAAAAATTTGGAGTGAGTTAAACAAGTTAAGAAAGCCAAGGGAAAGTATGGATTTGTCAGTTAAAAACAGAGTAGTGGAGTTAGTAGATGGGGAGATGGAGGTATTAGGTAGATGGCGAGAATATTTTGAGGAACTTTTAAATGTTGAGGAAGAAAGGGAGGCGGTAATTTCATGCACTGGCCAGGGAGGTATACCATCTTTTAGGAGTGAAGAAGAGTGCTTCAGAGTGTGTCAGGGAAGAATAGAGCCTGCTTCCTGGCAGTGAGAGCCCCTCATGCTGGGGACTTTCTGTTGGCTGTTCCCAATTCCAGCCTTGGCACACGCCTAGACCCACAGACCATCTGCATCGGTGTTGCCCTTCGACTTGCCGCCCCTATTCTCGCCGAACACAGTTGTATTTGTGGCAGTGAAGCAGCAGACCGATTCGGGTACCATGGTCTTGTGTGCCGTAAATCCGAGGGAAAGATTGCAAGACATGAGGAGGTTAATAACATTATCAAGAGGAGCCTCACAACAGCTGAATGCCCAGCAGTAAGGGGGCCACCCCAACTATGCAGATCTGATGGCACCCAGAAGCATCCAGATGGTATCACCCTTCAAGCCTGGACAGATGGGAAGCAGGTGGTGTGGGACTATACATGTGCTTCTACCTTGGCTGATACCTATCTCCAATACACCAGGGAGGAAGGAGGGGCAGCTGCCAGCTTCAGGGAGTCCCAAAAGTCTAGAAAATATGGAGAACTTGCCCATCATTATATGTTTGTTTCCATAGGCTCAGAGACCCTTGGCTCATGGGGAAAGAGTGCATCTAAATTCCTTAAGGAGCTGGGAAAAAGACTCATCAAGGTAACTAGGGATCCCAGGGCAGCTAGTTTTCTGTTCCAGCGGCTCAGTGCGGCTGTTCAAAGGGGTAATGCCTGCTGTATTTTGGGCACGCGCCCCAGCTCTGAGGAGCTGGATGAGATTTTCGCCTTATAATCGGTGATACACACGTAACAACATGTACCTTGTGTGCCACCTTTATATGAACAATGTATCTCTTAAATCTTCTGTACCATATTATGTAATAAAATATTCCTATTGGTAAAAAAAAAATATGAAAAAATGGGGTGGTAGGGGAAGTGGAATATTCAAACGGCTTCAGGAAGAAATCCAAATATTCTTCCTTGAAGCCTTTTTATCCACTTCTCCGAGGCTGTGGGTCCCACAATTTACACCAGAGGTTGACCCCATTTTATATATATATATATATATATATTCTAGGGGTCAGCGCCCCCCGCAGGCAGGACCCAGAGCACACCTCTAGGACACAATGTGACCACCTTATGTTAGTAATAATTTATGTGTAACAGTAACGTTATAACGTGTGATGGTGAGAGTTTTAACGTTATGGTATTACAGGTGTCAGTGATGACCGCCATGATGGTGGGTGGCGGTGGCTTCATGGGAGGAGTGGGTGGCATGAGTCGGGGTGGGCTGGCAGCGCCGCCCACCACCACTGCTACCACCACTACTACTACCACCCCAGGGACCCACCACAACCTCCGGCTCCCCTCGCCACACTCCCCTCCTTCCCCAACCTCCAGTGACTCCCCTACTTCCCCTGCCAGGTGAGTACCGCGCCTTCTATCACGACTTTTTTTGCTTTTTAAAGTCAACGCTGAAAAATAAATGTGAGTCATGAAAAATAAAAGTTAGTCCTGAAAAATAATAGTTTGTCATGAAAAATAAAAGTTTGTCATGAAAAATAAAAGTTAACCCTGAAAAATAAAAGTTAACTGAAAAATAAAGTTAACCCTAAAAATAAAAGTTAACTCTGAAAAATAAAAGTTAACCTTGAAAAAATAAAAATAATAACAATAATAATAAGAGTAATAATAATAATAATAATAATAATAATAATAATAATAATAATAATAACAGAGGTAGATAACTTAGTGTTGACAACATTACCATCATTGCGAGGTTAGTCCTGTTTGTGGGTTACCTGAAGATGATTTTGGGGGTCACCGCCCCTCCCACACGGTGGTGCGGTCCTAGACCAGGCCTGGTTGCTGGCCTGATGGACCAATACCTTCACCCAAGGCAAAGAACCCAGCTCCTCTAGGACGGGGATATTTCCCCTTTCGTCTAAATTTCTTGGAGATTATGACCGGTGACATGAAACGATCGATATAGATCGTGGAATGGGAATAATTGTCATGGATTAATTTTGCTTTGTCATATTTTTGGAATATAAAAGCGGGATGGTCATGACTGTTGCAAGTTGATAATGGTAGTGTATGTTTGAGGACGTTTGTAACTGGATGAGAGACTGTCCACCTTGATACAAGGTTGAGGGACTGACCACCGTGTTACAAGGTTGAGGGACTGACCACCTTGTTACAAGGTTGAGGGACTGACCACCTTGTTACAAGGTTGAGGGACTGACCACCTTGTTACAAGGTTAAGGGACTGACCACCTTGATACAAGGTTGAGGGACTGACCACCTTGATACAAGGTTGAGGGACTGACCACCTTGTTACAAGGTTGAGGGACTGACCACCTTGTTACAAGGTTGAGAGACTGTCCACCTTGTTACAAGGTTGAGAGACTGTCCACCTTGTTACAAGGTTGAGAGACTGTCCACCTTGTTACAAGGTTTAGAGACTGTCCACCTTGTTACAAGGTTGAGAGACTGTCCACCTTGTTACAAGGTTGAGAGACTGTCCACCTTGTTACAAGGTTGAGAGACTGTCCACCTTGTTACAAGGTTGAGAGACTGTCCACCTTGTTACAAGGTTGAGAAACTGTCCACCTTGTTACAAGGTTGAGGGACTGACCACCTTGTTACAAGGTTGAGAGACTGACTACCTTGTTACAAGGTTGAGAGACTGACCACCTTGTTACAAGGTTGAGAGACTATTGACCACCTTGTTACAAGGTTGAGGGACTGACAACCTTGTTACAAGGTTCAGAGACTGACTACCTTGTTACAAGGTTGAGGGACTGACAACCTTCTTACAAGGTTGAGAGACTGACTACCTTGTTACAAGGTTGAGGGACTGACTACCTTGTTACAAGGTTGAGGGACTGACTACCTTGTTACAAGGTTGAGGGACTGACCACCTTGTTACAAGGTTGAGAGACTGACTACCTTGTTACAAGGTTGAGGGACTGACTACCTTGTTACAAGGTTGAGGGACTGACCACCTTGTTACAAGGTTGAGTGACTGACAACCTTGTTACAAGGTTGAGAGACTGGCTACCTTGTTACAAGGTTGAGGGACTGACAACCTTGTTACAAGATTGAGGGACTGACTACCTTGATACAAGGTTGAGGGACTGACTACCTTATTACAAGGTTGAGGGACTGACAACCTTGTTACAAGGTTGAGAGACTGACTACCATGTTACAAGGTTGAGGGACTGACAACCTTGTTACAAGGTTGAGGGACTGACTGCCTTTTAACAAGGTTGAGGGACTGACCGCCTAGCAAGGTTGAGGGACTGACCACCTAGCAAGGTTGAGGGACTGATCACCTAGCAAGGTTGAGGGACTGACCACCTAGCAAGGTTGAGGGACTGGCCACCTAGCAAGGTTAAAGGACTAACCACCTAGCAAGGTTGAGGGACTGGCCACCTAGCAAGGTTAAAGGACTAACCACCTAGCAAGGTTGAGGGACTAACCACCTAGCAAGGTTGAGGGACTAACCACCTAGCAAGGTTGAGGGACTAACCACCTAGCAAGGTTGAGGGACTGACCACCTAACAACGTTGAGGGACTGGCCACCTTATAACAAGACTGAGGGACTGACAACCCTCCAACAAGGTTAAAACGCCATATAAATTCCACGAAAAACGAAGTTATAAACGCCATATAAACTAATTATTATTATTTTCACTTTCCCCTCATTTATATTCTATTTTAAATTGTCTACAATCACATTAGGAAAAAAATATTAGATTTTTGTTTCAAATGAAATATAATTTTATTAAATTGGTTAATTTTGCAATTGTCCTGGTAAAAAAGTTTGTGCTGCGAGAACTGTCATATCTTTAGTAATAATAGTTAAATTCTTGATAATATTAACTTTAACTGTAGCATATTGCATTTAACACATATGTATCTTACCGTGTGTAGTTCTGGTCGACACAGACACAAAGTTTTAGTTAAATTCTTGGTAACAGTAACCGGATAGTTGTAGCCTCATGTATCTAACACATATGTATCTTACTATGTGTAGTCCTGGTCGACACATGGGCAACAAGGCATGCGGCGTGTGTGGAGACGTAGCCAAGTCCATGCACTTTGGAGGCCTCTCGTGCGACTCCTGCAAAGCCTTCTTCAGACGCTCAGTACAAAACAACGCTCACAAGGGCTTTACCTGCCCTTATGAAAAAAAATGCATAATAGCCGTCTCATCCAGAAAAGCTTGTCAGTACTGTAGGTGAGTTTGACCTATGTTTTGCTCTGTACTGTATTTTTCAGCATATAAGGCGCACGACAGAAGTATCATAACAGTAAGTCAGTGATCACATTCAAGGGGTAATTATCCTCTTTATGCTAAAGCTTAAGCCTACCCTTGACCCTGACCTCAAGAATATAAGGCGCAGGCTGATTTTCCAAGGCTTTTTGTGGATAAAAATGGTGCGCCTTATATGCCGGAAAGCATGCTGTACCTTGTACCTTTATCTCTACACCTTTGATGAGTTGCAAGAATTCTACTCGACTGCTGCTGCTCATGGTAAAAGTTCTTGTCGCTCAGTGCAGCTAGGTAAGGTAAATATGTATGTGTCTTGTGATTAGTGAAGAGAGGATCGAGCCTACAGCACTCCTTGTGATCATTGTTGATAAACAGTGACTGGAGACTCGAACTGTGGTGCTGGCAGTGACAGGTCCAGTGCTCTACCAATGAACCAGGAAGCTTACAACAGGGAAGCTTACATTAAGAGGTTTACAATAAGAAGCTTACAATAGGAGGCTTATAATAGGAAGCTTACACTAAGAAATTTACAATAAGCTTACGATAAGAAGCTTACAGTAGAAATCTTACAGTAGAAAGCTTGTAATAAGTTTACAATAAGAAGCTTACAGTAACAAGCTTGCAATATGAAGCTTAAAATAGAAAGCTTATAAAAAGAAGCTTACAATAACTAGCTTACAATACGAAGCTTACAATAGAAAGCTTACAATAAGAAGCTTACAATAAAAAGCTTACAATAGGAAGCTTACAATAAGAAGCTTACAATAGAAAGCTCACAATAGGAAGCTTACAATAACAAGCTTACAATAGTAATCTTACAATAAGAATACAATAGAAAGCTTACAATAGGAAGCTTACATTAAGAAATTTACAATAAAAGGCTTACAATAATAAGCTTACAATAGGGAGCTTACAATAAGCTTACAATGGGAAGCTTATATAAGGAAGCTTGATGGGTCAGTGGTAGAATAATGGACCAGCTATACACCTGCCACCACGGTTCAAGTCTGTCCGTTCTTCACTTGATAACATTCACGATTATTCATTACGACTTATCTTGAGTCTTGCCCATGTCAGTGGGCAACCCACAGTATTACCCATGTCAGTGGGCAACCCACAGTATTACCCATGTCAGTGGGCAACCCACAGTATTACCCATGTCAGTGGGCAACCCACAGTATTACCCATGTCAGTGGTCAACCCACAGTATTACCCACGTTAGAGAGGTAACCCACAGTATTACCCACGTTAGTAGATAACCCACAGTATTACCCACGTCAGTATACTACTCACAGTATTACCCACGTCAGTGGGTAATACCCACTAACGTGGGTACGTTAGTGGTTAACAAACAGTATTACCTACGTTAGAGGGTAACCCACAGTATTACCCACGTTAGTGGGTAACCCACAGTATTACCCACGTCAATGTATTACCCACAGCATCGCCCACGTCAGTGTACTACCCACAGCATCACCCACGTCAGTGTACTACCCACAGCATCACCCACGTCAATGTACTACCCACAGCATCACACACGTCAGTGTACTACCCACAGCATCGCCCACGCCAGTGTACTACCCACAGCATCACCCACGTCATTGTACTACCCACAGCATCACCCACGTCAGTGTACTATCCACAGCATCACCCACGTCAGTGTACTACCCACAACATCACCCACGTCATTGTACTACCCACAGCATCACCCACGTCAGTGTACTACCTACAGCATCACACACGTCAGTGTACTATCCACAGCATCACCCACGTCAGTGTACTACCCACAGCAAGTGTACTACCCACAGCATCACCCACGTCAATGTACTACCCACAGCATCACTCACGTCAGTGTACTACCCACAGCAAGTGGGTAGTACACTTGCCAGCTATACACGTGCCACCACGGTTCAAGTCTGTCCGTTCTTCACTTGATAACATTCACGATTATTCATTACGACTTATCTTGAGTCTTGCCCATGTCAGTGGGCAACCCACAGTATTACCCATGTCAGTGGGCAACCCACAGCATCACCCACGTCAATGTACTACCCACAGCATCACCCACGTCAAGAAGCCGCGGCCTTGGGCCCCGTCCATCAACGTCTAGGTTTGAAGAAAAGCCTGTTGTTGTTGACTCGGGTGCGGTTGTACTCGCTTTTCAGGGGTCGAGCCTTAGCTTCTGGCCTCACCCCTTCACTGGCCGATACTGTGGTCACTCCTGGCTTCGTGCCTCTTCATAAAACTATGTATGAACCCTGCCATTACCACTTCTCTGTCTAGGTTACTACTCTTCTTGTTCACTCTAAGGTTCAAGAAATGCTTCTGAACAACCCTGTGACTCATCTAAATTTTCAACTTACAGCTGCGCCCTCGTGTATCTCTTTCTCACATTTAGAGTAAGCTGTCACCTTTAGAGTAAGCTGCCACCTTTAGAGTAAGCTGCCACCTTTAGAGTAAGGTGTCTTAGTATTTTGTACACTGTTATTATATCTCACCTAACGCTTCTTTTCTCTAGCGCTATCAGTTCAAACTCTCATAGCTCACACCTCGTAGCTCCAGGACTAGTCTTGTTGCAAATCTCTGCACTATTTCAAGTTTCAGGTGTGGGTTCCATACTGGTGCTGTGTACTCTGATGGTCCTAACTTATGTTGTATACAGTGTGGTGTGGTGAGTGATTCCTTGCAAGGGTTCCTGAAGGCTAATCTTAGATGGTGTATGTCTGTGTTTGTTTGTACTTACTTATGTGTGGTTACAAGGATCGATTCACAGCTCCTGGCCCCTGTGTGTGTGTGTGTGTGTGTGTGTGTGTGTGTGTGTGTACTCACCCATATGGGGTTGCAGGGGTCGATTCACAGCTCCTGGCCCTGTATATGTGTGTGTGTGTGGGTACTCACCTAATTGTACTCACCTAATTGTAGTTGCAGGGGTCGAGACTCAGCTCCTGGCCCCGCCTCTTCACTGATCGCTACTTGGTCCTCTTTCTGCTTCCTGAGCTTTGTCATACCTCGTCCTAAAGCTATACATGATTCCTGCCTCCACTACTTCACTTGCTAGGCTATTCCACTTCCTGAGGACTCTGTGGCTGAAGAAATACTTCATAACATCCCTGTGACTCGTCTGAGTCTTCAACTTCCAATTGTAACCCCTTCGTTTCTGTGTCCCATCTCTGGAACATCCTGTCTTTGTCCACGTCTATTCCACGCAGTATTTTGTATGTTGTTATCATGTCTCCCCTGACCCTCCTGCCCTCCAGTGTCGTCAGTCTGATTTCCCTCAACCTTTCTTCGTAGGACATTCCCCTGAGCTCCGAAACTAGCCTTGTTGCAAACCTTTGTACTTTCTCTAATTTCTTGACGTGCTTAGGCATGTGTGTGTGTTTAGGGAGGTGGTGTCTCTACCTAAAATGTGAAACAAGGGGAAAGAAATCCTCCTAACATAATAGGGAACACATTATTCATATTTCTCATTCCATAGGACATTTGTCCACACCAGGACAACAGAGTTGTAGTCAGGACCACAAGTGAGCCGTGGTGGCCTTTAACAAGTACACCGTGAAGTCTCGCACTCTTCTGGACTCGACACCGATATGTATTTATTATTCACCACATACCCATGTTGTGGGTGGCAGTCAAAACATTAAATAGGTACTTTATTCACCACATATCCATGTTGGTGGCAGTCAAAACAATACACAGGTACATTATTCACCACATACCCATATTGGTGGCAGTCAAAACATTACACAGGTACATTATTCACCACATACCCATGTGGGTGGCAGTCAAAACATTACACAGGTACATTATTCACCACATACCCATATTGGTGGCAGTCAAAACATTACACAGGTACATTATTCACCACATACCCATGTGGGTGGCAGTCAAAACATTACACAGGTACATTATTCACCACATACCCATATTGGTGGCAGTCAAAACATTACACAGGTACTTTATTCACCACATATCCATGTTGGTGGCAGTCAAAACATTACACAGGTACATTATTCACCACATACCCATATTGGTGGCAGTCAAAACATTACACAGGTACATTATTCACCACATACCCATGTGGGTGGCAGTCAAAACATTACACAGGTACATTATTCACCACATACCCATGTTGGTGGCAGTCAAAACATTACACAGGTACATTATTCACCACATACCCATGTGGGTGGCAGTCAAAACATTACACAGGTACATTATTCACCACATACCCATGTTGGTGGCAGTCAAAACATTACATAGGTACATTATTCACCACATACCCATGTGGGTGGCAGTCAAAACATTACATAGGTACATAATAGGTGTGGGAACCTGGGTGTAAGTTTATTCAGGTACAAGTACACATAAATACAGTTACATAAATTATCATACATAACAGCATATGTGTGTAGATTACCTAGGATAACCCAAGAAACTTAGTGACTTAAGAAAGTCCAAGTGTTATGGTAATTAAGTTTATATAGGTACAGGCAAATGTAGGTACAATTAGCATATTTAGTAAGATGTGTAAATTATCCAGGATAACCCATAAAGTCAGACAAGGTGGCTTATTTAGATTGTGGTCATTTTTTGTCATCATACACAGCCAGCTGACCAATAGGCCTATGGCTCTGTACATCACCTCATTATTTCATTGTTGGTAGGCCTAAGGTAAGCTTGCTGACTTGGGAGAATTTAGGCATTGGATTACCTAAAAATTACTGTAAAAGACGATTTTGAGGGTCACTGTCCCCCATATTCCCTGAGGCTCAGACTAGGCCTCATAGTTGATGACCTGATCAACCAGGCTGTTGGTGTATACCTGGAGTATACCTGGAGAGTTCTGGGGGTCAACGCCCCCACAGCCCGGTCTGTGACCAGGCCTCATGGTGGATCAGGGCCTGATCAACCAGGCTGTTACTGCTGGCCACACGTAATCCAACATACAAACCACAACCCGGCTGGTCCAGTACTGACTTCAGATGCCTATCCAGTGCCTGCTTGAAGACAGCCAGGGGTCTATTGGTAATCCCCCTTATGTATGCTGGGAGGCAGTTGAACAGTCTTGGGCTCCTGACACTTATTTTGTTGTCTCTTATCGTGCTAGTGGCACCCCTGCTTTTCATTGGGGGGATGTTGCACTGTCGAATCTTTTGCTTTTGTGGGGAGTGATTTTCGTTGTGGTATCCATATGCAGTCCCATGTAGGCCTCCAAAGATATAGCTAAAGTCTAAGGCTACTACTTGGTAGAGCAGCACTCCACCAAGTAGTAGCCTTAGGTTTGATAGTAACAAAAATAATAATAATACTTGTTGGGCCTCTTGCATTAGTTTACACTTGACAAGACACACAGCCTCTATACACCACAGAATAAACATTTCTAGTGCAAACTGCTATTTTGAGTGAGAGTGAAAATACTGCATTGGTTGCACATAAATGAGCAAGTCTTGCCTGGATGTAAAAAGATTCATATCTGCCAATGGCAGAGTAAGGTTATGTTATTTTAGGTTGGTTTTGTTAGGCTAGGTTAAGTTTTTCTACCATTTGCACAGCAACATAGCTCGACTTTCAAACAAAATTAATGTTGTGAAGATAAATGGTATAACATAACAGCATGGTGGAAAAAACACAAATGAAATACAGTGGACCCCCGACCAATGAAGGCATCGTCTAACAAATTCGACTAATGAAGCGTTTGAGCGTAAAAATTTTGACCCGACCAACGATGAAAAACTCAACCAATATGATTCGTCCCGAATGCGTCCACATGTCCTGTCTGGCCTGAGTGCGCCTTAGCTGCCCTGCCTTCAGTTAGTGTGCCAGTGTGGTTGCATCCATGCATACATTCAGTACATTTCGTATTATTCCAGTGTTTTTAGTGCTTGTAACTGCAAAATAAGCCACCATGAGCCCCAATAAAGCTTCAAGTGCCAACCCTGTGGTAAAAAGGGTGAGAATTACAATTGAAATGAAGATCATCACAAAGTATGAAACTGGAGTGTGTGTCTCCAAGCTGGCCAGGTTGTATAACAAACCCCAATCAGCCATCGCTACTATCTTGGCCAACAGAAAGGCAATCAAGGAAGCTGTTGTTACGAAAGGTGCAAGTAAGTTTTCGAAACACAGATCGCAAGTAGTTGAAGATGTTGAGAGACTCTTATTGGTGTGGCTAAACAAAAAACATATATCAGGAGATAGCATCTCTCAAGCGATCATATGTGAAAAGGCAAGGCAGTTGCATGACGATTTAATTAAAAATAAAGGTAAAGTGTCATTTATTCTTCGTTACACAATATACATATGTATACTATATGTATTGTGCATCTATCCTTCTGTTTGTGTGTAGGAAAATGTTTATTTCATGTAGTAAAAATTTTTTTTTCATACTTTTGGGTGTCTTGAATGGATTAATTTGATTTCCTTTATTTCTTATGGGGAAAATTAATTCAACTAATGATAATTTCGTCTGACGACGAGCTCTCTGGAACGGATTAATATCGTTGGTTGAGGGTCCGCTGTATAATGCAATCCTTCATTGACTATGTTTTGCTTAAACAGTGGGCTTTATCAAGTCACAAAGAGATCTACCTGGGTAAAGAGTACATGAGTACAGTGGAACCTCAAAAATCGAACTGCTCCCAACACGACCAATTATGTAAATGCATTTTTGTAATATAACGCTATTATATGGGTGTGAAGCATGGGTGATGAATGTTGCAGTGAGGAGAAGGCTGGAGGCAGTGGAGATGTCATGTCTGAGGGCAATGTGTGGTGTGAATATAGTGCAGAGAATTCGTAGTTTGGAAGTTAGGAGGAGGTGCGGGATTACCAAAACTGTTGTCCAGAGGGCTGAGGAAGGGTTGTTGAGGTGGTTCGGACATGTAGAGAGAATGGAGCGAAACAGAGTGACTTCAAGAGTGTATCAGTCTGTAGTGGAAGGAAGGCGGGGTAGGGGTTGGCCTAGGAAAGGTTGGAGGGAGGGGGTAAAGGAGGTTTTGTGTTTGAGGGGCTTGGACTTCCAGCAGGCATGCGTGAGCATGTTTGATAGGAGTGAATGGAGACAAATGGTTTTTAATACTTGACGTGCTGTTGGAGCGTGAGCAAAGTAACATTTATGAAGGGGTTCAGGGAAACCGGCAGGCCGGACTTGAGTTCTGGAGATAGGAAGTACAGTGCCTGCACTTTGAAGGAGGGGTGTTAATGTTGTAGTTTAAACTGTTGTGTAAAGCACCCTTCTGGCAAGACAGTGATGGAGTGAATGATGGTGAAAGTTTTTCTTTTTCGGGCCACCCTGCCTTGGTGGGAATCGGCCAGTGTGATGATATGAATGATTTTATAAGTGTATTTTTGAGGGTCTGAAATGGACTAATCTAATTTGCATTATTCCTGATGGGAATAAATTTATTTGGTAAAGGCACTCGAACAGCCTTCTGGACCGAAGAAAGTTCGATATTTGAGGTTCCACTGTATATATAGTGTGGAGAGTCAGGTGGAGAATGTTGGGTAGGTTGTATTTGAGACGCACCTACATGGGATGGGCAAGTAGGTATGTTATGTAGGATAACGATGCAGAAGTTTCCTGGCAAGGGGTTCAGCTATGTTGTACAAGTCATTATTCTGGTGAAATTGTTAGATATACAGATGAATGATGATTTCAAGATCCTGCAGCACTGTCTTCTTGGAATTGTGACTTATCTGCATATCTAACAATTTCAAAGAGAGCAATGGCCTTTTACAACATACATGAACCCTTTGCCAGGAAACTTCTTCATCATTATCCTACATAACATACCTTTTTGCCCATCCCATGTAGGTCCGTCTCAAATGCAGCCTCCTCAACATTCTCTATCTGACTCTCCACACTATGTACAACCTCTCCTCACTTAACGATGGGGTTCCATTCCTAAGACCACATTGGTAAACAAATTCGTCGCTAAGCATGGCGCATACTGTAATGGTAGTGGGTTTATGTCAACTGTCTTTGATATTGTTTCAATGTCACCTTTGTGTATATTTTTAAATGTTTATGCAGTAGTGTACTGTGTATTGTAATAAATAGAATAGAGGAAATCAGCTCTAATACTTCCTCTCCTCACTTAGCGACGTACTCGTTTACTGACGACTCAGATTTACGACAGGCTCTCTGACCAGTATGCATATCTAAATAATGTATATTAAAGCTGATTTCCTCTTTTCTCTTTATCACCATGTACTGTACACTACTGTATAAAAATTTAAAAATATACCAGAAATGTTATAAATGGTGCAAAGGTAACATTAAAACAATATCAAAGATGGTTGACACAAAGCTACTACCATTATAATATGCTCCTTACTTGGCGATGAATTCATTTACTGACATGATCTTAGGAACAGAACTCTGTCGTTAAGTGAGGAGAGGCTGCTTGATAAATCCCACTGTATACATTTGTGTTTTTTCTTTCCTAGGTGTGTGTTCAGTAAGTCTTAAAAATTGTTCGAACTTTTGTGAAGTCCCATGCTGATTTTTACATTAAAATATTTAATAATGTTTTGTGTGTAGTTCTTTAAGCTGATACTTAATAAAAGTATGCCTGGTAATTGTAATTTCTTCTTTTCCAGATTTCACAAATGTCTATCAATTGGGATGGAAAAGGGATGGGTGATGACGGAGGAGGAACGCAGGAAGATGATGCAGCAACGCCAAGAGAAAAAGAACAAAGATGAACATAAAAAACATAATTTGTCCAATAATCCAGAAAGATACACTCTGAGTGAGGAAGAACAAACTGAGATATCCACTATTGTATCTTTGTATAAAAAGGCCTACCAGGATATCCCATATGAAGATAGTGGTCCACAAGAGGGAGCAGTAGGGGTTATGTCACCATGGATGACATTCTGTAAGAGAATTGGATATTTTTTTTCACTCTTCCAAGAATTTGCTGACCTTCCAAGCAGCGACCAAGCGCTACTGCTGAAAACAGCAATTACATCGGCATGTATTATCATGGGTTCTGTTGTTTATGATTCCAGTACTGGCAAGTGGCCAGGCAAAAGTATAAATAGAGGTGGCTTTATGCCCAATGTGACGCAAAAAAATGTAGAACGATTAGTACCTGCTGAGCTTATGTCACGTGTTGAGCATTTTTTCCGCAAGTTCCAGCAAGTGTGTCCCGACGAAACTATGGCAATGATACTCATACTAGTGGCCCTGTATTCCCCAGAATTAATGGGATTAGAGGCTAAAGATACCATTCAAGGGCTACAAGATCGTTATACACGTATCTTGCAGAGGTATGTAGGATGGAAGTACAAAGAGCATTCATCCCTAATGTTTCCCAAAGTTATTGTCTCTCTTGCTGATATTCGAGAGTTAGCCGAGCGTACTTGTCAGATGCGAATACAGCAGGGTGTTGTGGCAAATGTGCCTTCCTTATCATCATTTCTGTCGAGGCCTGAGTCTAGTTCATCGTCTACATCTTCAATGGACATGAGCGAGGAGGGAAATACAGTTCAAAATGCAAATAATGAAATTGCACAAATTAAAGAAGAATGTGATGTCCAGTGCGATAAAACAAGGAAGGTGGGAACTGCCCATAAAGCTGGTCATTTAGAAGATACGAGTGGAACACGTGATCATACATACCAAAAAATTATGCAGAAGATTATGGATCAGATGCATAGTTCCTCCATATATATGCAGGCTCCATCGCTTCTTCCATTCATCATCCAGATTGTCAAAAAAGTTGGTGCTGGTAATCCCACCGGGACCTCTACTCGACTATCTTTCTCAAGCCCAAAAGCTAGCAGGCCGCAACAGACCAAGCATCACCGAATAGGTTCCAAACGCCGCATGGTCGAAATCAAACAAGAATGCGTGGACGAAAGCTGTGACACTCAAGATCTGCCATCTCCCATCCCAAGTGTGCATCCTAGTTCTCACAGCCAGTTTAACCTGCAGACTGAGCCCCAAATTCCTCATAATCAGGACGTACAGCAGCTTCTCCATCAGCCTGCTCCTTCACCCCCACAACCAACACTTTCTTGTACTTATCCAGTGTCGCCAATGGAATCTACTAATTCTTTTGACATGCTTCCACTCTCACCTTTACATACCTCAAATATAAGATTGTCTCCACACCCCATGCCATCACTTGGTTCCAACCTTTCTGTTGATTTGCTGTCTACTCAGACAGCCCACATGGTTCCTGTTGCACCATACACTCCCCCAGCACCAGTTCCATCACCAAACATCCTTGTTAAACAGCCAAGCATGGAACCCGTGGCGGACATGCCACTACCATCACCCATTGCTGCACCCTCGCCCTACTCAGACACGTCGAGCTCCTCCCCAGAGAGTTCCCAGTCGCCACTCACTGAGCTCTTTTCTGAAGATCTTTCAAATGTAGAAATAGATGTACTTACACAGTTGCTTGATTATGTTTCCAACATTGACAACTTTGATAATGTGAGCTCACTTAAAGAAATCTTGCCACCACATCTTCTTACCGAACTTCAAACAAAACTGTGCTCATACTCATTGAAACATGAATAGCAGAAAATACAAATTTACAGTGTTTTAAGCTTCAGTTTACTCCCACAAGCAGGAAATACGTACATGATGTCTAGACTTTGTGAAAGGCTGTTATCAAGTCGATATATTTATCAAGTGTATTTTCAGTGTATTGGTACAATTTATATTTGTGCTAATAAGTGTTTCACAATGCTTTCAAATGTACTAGAGTACATGTCTTGAATTTCAAAGCAACAAATAAGAAGACTTGTTTGATTGAAAACACAAAGATTGAAAACTAAGTGGAAAACAAGTGGCAAAAGTTAAGTAAAAGGGATTAAAAGTGACTTAGAAAACTTGTTCAGTCAGGAAGTACCGTAAAACTGTTTGGAAATGTCATATACTCGAGAAACAAGCCCATAACAGTCCTGAAAATTATTTTGTGACATCATATGCACGCACATTGATGTTTTGTGATATACCATAGTTTACATTGGCCTGGGAGATGAATTGTGATTCTAATAATCAAAATCATCATCTAGAATTGTTGAGAAATATCAGTCTTGTTGTTTTGCTCTGGTAATACTTCATGTTACACAGGTTCACCAAAAAGGTTACTGAATGTTATACTTAGTGAAGGCTTCTTGAACACCACACTTCATCAAGAGGTCATCTCTCATAGCTGCTCACTTTAAGCACATGTAATAGCTGGAGTATTGGTTGCAATGATTTTTTAAGTTGACAAAAGTGTCTTTAAAGTGGAGATAAGAGGAATTGTATTATAAATACTGTATGTGAGAGTGTTTCTTGCAATATTGTTTTCTTCAGTTACTACTGAGTCAACCTAATATTGTATTAGCTGTCAATCTGCATGTAAAGCCATTGTACTATGAAAGGAAACATGGTTTAGTGATTACCATATGCGGTGTATATTTACCTAGGTAGTATTTAAATTTTGGTCGTAGTTTCCATCCCAGTTATTTGTAAAAGATTAAACTGAATACTGACTTTATGTAGAGTTTTTTAACAATTTTTTTAAATACATCCTTTATTTTTTTATTAAAAATATACCTTTATCTGTTATGCATCTGGGTACAGGAGGGTCCTGCTTATACAGCAGGTTAGGTTCTGGGCTACTGTGAGTGTCCCACTTATACAGCAGGTTAGGTTCTAGGCTACTGTGAGTGTCCCACTTATACAGCAGGTTAGGTTCTGGGCTACTGTGAGTGTCCCACTTATACAGCAGGTTAGGTTCTGGGCTGCTGTAAAGCAAAACCACTGTAAAGTGAAACATAGCCTTTTTTCATGTTCAAATGCATATAACAGCCTGATAAAATGTTTACACTATCATAAAGGCCTAAAAAATTGCATGTACGATACACACATTCTTACCTTAAAATATTTTCGTACTTAGCGTATAGTGAGTGGTGAATATATTTATTGTAGGTAGTCTGAATAAATGATGAAAGGGTATAATTGAAAACAGCTGTATTAGCAAAACACTGTAGAGTGGGGCCCTCCTGTATACAGTGATTTATTATGTTTTTGGAGTTCCTGAGTTCTGTATATTAAAGAATCTGTACCTGGATTGTGCAAGTTACTACACTCCTGTTTCTCTCTTTCATTACTTGGCTTTACAACACGTGTACTGTTACTTGAAATGAGTTCTACCAAAAAAACTGTGCTGACAGCGAGTCTCAAGCCTTACTGTTACGTCAACGAGAACTCTGTGTCTGGACAGGTTATTGGCCCGTATATTTATTGAAGTTGTGACACTTGAACACGCAGTTTTAGTTTGATAATATGATTCATTGTATACCTTAGAATTATTCTGTGGTAAAGCTGCAATTCAGTATGATCAAGGAATGGTATGATAGATGCTTTTGATGTGAAGATTAGATGCCTTGGATAGACACTGCTTTCTCCTGGAGAAATAAAAATGGAAATAGAGACTTGTGTGTAGGCTGGGCATGGACAATGGAAAGGTAACTTTATGAGATATCACAAGCATAAATATATATAGGTATCGGATATCTAATACAGTGGACCCCCGGTTAACGATATTTTTTCACTCCAGAAGTATGTTCAGGTGCCAGTACTGACCGAATTTGTTCCCATAAGAAATATTGTGAAGTAGATTAGTCCATTTCAGACCCCCAAACATACACGTACAAACGCACTTACATAAATACACTTACATAATTGGTCGCATTCGGAGGTAATCGTTATGCGGGGGTCCACTGTATACTTAAGCTTACTAGAATAGCAAAATTTAAATTAATTTTTTTGTCTTTGGATTAAAATAAAATATATATGCAGTACATAAATACTAATGCTTAATGCTGTCAGAAGTGCATGCTTGATCTAAACTGAAAATTCATATCATAAAAACTAGGATTTGAAATTTTTACTATAGGCTAAGACAATGTAACAATGGTCTACCTACCTGGAGTCTACCTGGAGGGTGTTATGGGGTCAGTGCTCCTGTGGCCCGGTCCATGACCAGGTTTCGCGGTGGATCAAGGCCTGATCAACCAGGTTGTTACTGCTGGCCACACGTACTCTAATGTACTGGTACTGGTAAACCAATCAGTTCATATAATAGTTAATACAACGGTGAGAATGAAGGTTAGTTTGTGCAATTTAGAGTGATGTTGACTGAAGCTTGATGCTTGTTAGAAACAATGACCTCTGTTGTTTCATAGAAGTCACATGGAATATATAAGGTATGACAGGTTCTCCTTGGTGCCTCGTCAACCATCTCAAAGCAAAAGAATGAGTTTGGAGAGTGTAATGTGAGATGATCAAGGATACAGTGTGTGTGTAACTGTGTCCTGGTACATAGTTAGCCACATACTGTATCTTCATGAAAAAACAAGCCATGAAACAGGTGGGATTCAAGCCCATGGCAAGTGAGTCGCAAAACTCACTCACTGTGGGTTCAAATCCCACCTGTTTGTGGTTTATTTGCAATCATGTTATTAGCATTTTGTGAGTCGTGTATCTTAATGTATTGTTGTCTGACCACAGGTGACTACTACTACTACTACTACTACTACTACTACTACATCATTCCAGTGAGTTTTGTTATGCGTTAGGCTAGTGCATTAATACATAGTTTTCTCCTCCATGCGGTTTGTTATATCAAGTAATTGACTGGCCACCTGTCTGCTGTTCCATACCTTTTTTTTATACAAAATTGTTTATTTAAGATCCTTTCTGAAATTAATTATGTTCTGTATTATTTTATAATTGAGGCCATATTTACACAATCGTGACTCATTTGATCTAATGTTTCATGTTGCAGTTAGAAATTAGCAAGTAAAATATTATCTTCTTTAAGAAGCCCTTCAGCAAGAGGTGCCTTTATGCCACTGAAGGGCTATTAGTCCAGATTATTGAAGATGGCCTCTGTTTACTCAGCTTAAATGTGATTACAGTACTTGACGAATTATCACCCATGGTGATAATTCGTCAAGGTCATCGATAAATAAAGAATGAGACACTTGTTCAACATTTGGCAATCTTTATTGAGGAAACATTTCCTCAATAAAGTTGGCCAAATGTTACACGTGTCTCATTCTTCAGCTTTCCGGTTTTCAAAACCATTTACATAATACGTCATTGATAGGTGTAATGACGTGGTTGAGCCGTGTAACCTGGGTGATGCTCTATGAGGTTAATGTGAAAAGTTCTCGTCAGCAAACCCATCAATGATGGGGGATGATGCTCGTAAAGAGCTCTTCGTCCAAAAAATTGGAGCCATCATCCTCTTCCTCAGATTAAACCTGATCACCTCTTATTCCTGAGATGCTGTGTGTCCTCTACGGGTTTAATACTCCCCCTACCTGTGAGTATTTTTACTTTGCATTACAGTGGCTCCAGGGGTTATTGCCCCCCTGCTACCTGGTCCTAAACCATGCCTGCTGGTTTAGCTGCCCAGATTGACCAGTCTGTTGGTGCTGACTGCCTGAAGTCCATCATACACACCACAGCCTGGCTAATCAGGAGCTGACTTGACAAACTTATCAAGTTTTCCCTTGACAACAGCTAGAGGTTTGTTGGTAAATTTCCCTCATGCATGAAGGCAGTATGTTAAAGATTCGTTCTTGATAATCCTGTGAGAGACGACTTAGTTATTAATGTATGTGAATTTGTAAAGGTGATCTGATTTCAGTACATTTTGTATATGGGAAAATAAAATTTTCTGCTTGGGCTTGATGCTGGGGAAGGACTTTTTAATCCAAGAAGTGGAGAAATTCAATTATCTGCTTACTTGGGACCTTCAAGAAAGGTAACTTCATGCTAGGAAAGGACTCTTGTTCCAAGGAATTAGTGGTATCCTTTGTTTAAACTTGATTACCTCCCATTTCCCAGGTGCCTTATGATCCTAGTGGATTTACCGCTTTCTATGAATATAATAACAAAATAATAATTATAATTCTTACCTGGAATCCATACAACTGTGGTAATGTTTTACAGCTGAGAAATTTGCTCGGGTAATTAGCATTTTGTGCAAAACAGGGAAGGCGATATATTTCGTCCTTTGAAACGGTCACTCTCAAAAAAAAATAGCTTTATCATTTTATCTGAATCTCCTTTGTGGCTTTCTCAACACCCATCAACCTTAATATTTTTGTACACTGCATTAAAACAACTTGGTCATCAGTACTGGCAACATTGACAACATTAGTTTATTAAAGGCTTCAAAATGTTGACTAAAATGTGTGAATGGTGATGTTTTGGTACCTTTTTTTTTTTTTCTGCAATTCATTTTACAAGCTAAGAGCTGTTACACTTCAGCTCATTTACAGCAGCAGTTGCTGCTGAGTTATTGAGGAAATACTTTTGTAATTTTGGGTTACTAGACATAATTGTGTCAGATGATGCTGCATACTTTGTATTAAAAGAGCTGGAAGCCTTCTTCATTAAGAATAGAATTGAATATGTTACTCCAGCCCCATACCATCCATCATTATAAGAACTGTTTTTCTGCAGCTCATTTAAAGCCAAGATCTGTTCTTCCTCGGCTCATTTACAGGCTAAGAGCTGCTCTGCCTTAGCTCATTTACAGGCTAAGAGCTATTCTTCATTAGCTCATTTACAGCCAAGAGCTGTTCTTCTGCCTCAGCTCATTATCAAGCCAATAGCTGTCATTCAACCTCAGTTCATTTTAAAGCCCATCCCTTTTCATGGTACAGTACATGTATAACAACCCACTAGAATGCAACCTATGACACTGGATTAATGCCCTGGTACCTATTTACTACTAGGTGAACAGCGACAGTATTGATGTAAGGAGACTTGCCCCTTGGGTCTTGCTCTGCCAGGGAATTGAACCCTGGTCCTCTTAGGTGTGAGTTGAATGTTCACTGGGGGTTTAAAAGTCATTTATTTTGGTTGTAGATGTCTTCTGTTTATGTAACTGAAATATTGAAGAATAAAAAGGCATAATAACATAACTGGAACAATACACAAATAATTGCACATAGGAGAGACACTTATGAAGGTGTTTCGGTCAGACTTGGACCATTGACCAGTTAATGGTCCAGGTTGGACTGAAATGTCGTAAGTTTCATTCTCCAGCGTTTGGGTTATTTGTGTATTGTTCCAGTTACAGTATTGTGCCTTTTTATTCTTTAACATCTAATAAATCTTAGAGGAACTAACAGTTTTCAAAATATTGTAGCATGTTTCAAGAAAAATCATGGGATGATAAGTGGTTTCAAGAGGACAATAGATGAGACTATAGCATACATGATGCAGATTGCAGCCAACAGCCTGGTGTGTCACGTGGTCACCTCAAGAACATTTACTGTACTTCAGCTGCTTCAAGCAGATGAATTTTGAAGGATTGTAAGGTTGTATTACAGATCACTTTTGTTAGAGAGGAAAGGGGAAGTGTAGTGATGCTTGCAAAAGGCTGTTGATTCAAGGAATTGGAATTATTCTTTCCTTTCTCAGATCAAACTTGATTACCTACCATTTCCCAGGGATTATATGACCTCTGGAATTTCACTGTTTCTCTATATACCAAATATTCTGGCATCTGAGGTGCACGAGCACATAAGGCACACCTCAATTTTGACAAGCACATTCTAGGAGGAATACAAAAATGCATAACTTGTTTCAAAATGATAGCAAACCAGTGGGCGACTGTTTGTGTGCACAGTTTAGGTGCGAGAGGTGGGACCTTGTGCAGTCTGCCCTCTGCTCCACCCTCACCAGCCACCATAAACATAGATGCCTGTTGTTTACTGATGGCTACCTTAAAATTATACAGATGCTTCTTGCTTTACAATAGTTTAACTTAAAATATTTCAACTTACGATGTTTCGAGTTTACAATGTTGCATTAGCGATGCACATTCATACTGTACTGTAAATTTATGTATCATGTCTTAATACACATTAATTATTATTATTATTATTATTATTATTATTATTATTATGATAGGATAAACTTGTATTCATCTATTTACATTTCAGTACTGGTATTTAGTTCCATTAATTATTTTTTATTTACTTATTCAGTGACAGTACTTATTTATTTATCTTATTTGACGTACAATATTTTCAGCCTAAGATGGGTTTGTCAGAACGTGACCCTATCGTACATTGAGGAGCATCTGTATATACAGCCGTTGAAGTTGGTCTGTTTATTATGTACTCTTAGTATGCAAATTATAATTTTTAGTAGTCACTAATCACTGGAGAGTGATCTGGGTAACAGTTATATAGGTGGGTTGTTTTTGAGTTTGCCAATAATGCAGCACTGAAACCACCGCTTGCCAGTAACTCGTAGCCTTCCTTTGTTCCTGACCTTGAGCATATAAGGTGTAGGGTGATATTTTAAGTCGTGTTTTGGGAAAACAGAACTCCTTAAATACCAAAATACAGGGCATTTTAAGAAGATGGACCTGATTTCAAAGCAGTATATACTGAAATTGGGTCAGTCATTTTGAAACATCCTGTATATGGAAATACAGTGTTTTCATTGAATTTTGCCATCATTTAGGATTTAATCCTACACATGACGGCTAATGGTAATACTCTGGAATATTCCTCGGTATTCATGGAAAAAAGAATAGAAAGTAAATCAGTGCAGCTCAGGGTATAGATATTAGAAAAGAAGCACTACAGCTTTAGGAGCCACACAGTGTGGAGAATGGGAGGTAATGAGAGTTTTGAAGCACAGTAAGGGAGAATAGCTCTTAATTCTTTGAATCAAAAGCCCTCCACCAGCCCCTTTCTGCCAGGATCAAGGCACCCCTTGTCCACTTCCCTTGATGGGTCAGGGTAAACACTTGAAGGTTTTATTAAATAAATTTTGAAGATCGGAATCACTTATGGCACTCTGCAAGACTCGTGTTGCTTTTAGATAGCATTATTGTAAAACGTGCCTCACTGATTCACTAATAACTTGTAAATTTGTTTGTTTACTTCAGGAAATTGTACACAGCTTTAAAATTACACTGTACATGAAGAAAGTCACAGAGGAGTTGTTCACTCGTACAGTGATTCCTGGGATGGTGGCCCTCGCAGTCCAGTCTTGGGGAGCTCTCCGGGTGAAGGGTCAGGTCATTCAGATTGTTTTTGTGTAAGCATTGCAATAGTAAGAAAGGAGAGTTCTGTACAGTTCGAGACATTTATTAGATGAGATGTTTTGTCACTTGGGGTTTCTTCAGTCAAATACAAAGGCAGCAGGTAAAGTAGTGGAATGAAGAGAAATAGTATTTGAGGTGGTCAGTCCCTCAGCCTGGAGGAGAGTTCAGCTGCACGGTCTGGAACAACATGAAGCTGAAGCTGAAGCTTCATACTGTTCCAGACCATGGAGCTGACCTCTTCCCCAGACTGAGGGACTGACCACCTCAAATACCATTTCTCCAAGGTTGATGGACTGAATACATCATCTTCATTTCTTCTGCCTCTGTATTTGACTGAAGAAGCCTACTGTGTTGGCAAAACATTTCAACAACTTAGTTATCTCTATATTAGGACTGAAGAAGCCACTCGGGGCAAAACATTTCCTCTAATATATGCCCTGAACTGTACACAAGTGTCTTTTTCCACATCTTGTTGGTACCACCATACCATTTTTGAATTTCCAGTAGAAACATTTACTATAGATGTGTGTGTGCCTCTGGCAGCTGTAGACAAGTACGGTAATTTGCTAAGGGTCACAATGGTTCTTCACAGTCAGATTAGCTGTTCTTTCAGCATAAGTGGCCCAAGGCTTTAGATTTATTTGTTTTTTGTGTATACAGTGTAACTGTTAACCTTTTAAAGAATAAAAAGGCACAACACCATGACCAGAACAATACACAAATAACCCGCACATAGGAGAATGAAACTTACGATGATGCTACTGGTTCAAGTTGGACCATTAACATCATCAAATAACCCACCTATGTGTGGGTTATTTTTATATTTACCTTTTCTTATGTAGGTGTTATTCACTCTGTTTCTTATAAAGGAAAGGTTTGTCATTAGTGTTTGTTCAAAGCTTGCAGTTACATGAGGTATGAAGAATAACTGTGGAAGCATGAAAAAAGTTGTGAAAGCCTATGTACAGATGCTCCTTGCTTTATGATGGTTCGAATTACAATATTTTGACTTTATACCTCTGCATATTCTGTACTGTACTGCTGTATGGTACTGTACATTTATTGATAGGACATACCTGTATTCATTTATTTACTTTTTCATTTATTTACTTACATTCATATTCGATTTGCAATATTTTCAACTTACAATGGTTTCTCTGGAACATAACCCCATTGTAAGTTAAGGAGCACCTGTGTACTCCCAGGAGCGAAGGTTCAGGTAGTTCTGAGTAAAGTGAGTTATTATAAAATGTGCAGAGAGAGCAGTTTACTATGCTATGTTGGTGAAAGGTTGATGTGTTGACATCTGAACATACAGTATGTGCTTTTAGTGTAGTGGCTGATGCATCAGTGTGCTAGTTAGTGGTAGCTGAAACAACAGTAGGAGAAAGGCAGAGTACAAGGAGAATTGTGTCAGTGAGTAAATGGAAATGAAAGTGAATGAAATAAAAAAGGGAACAGTGAATGGTATCATCAGCTAGTGGGAGAATGGTGGACTAGGTGGAGGATGTGAAGGTATGATGCACTTTTAAGTCTGCAGTGACAGTGTGTTGTGGATATTTGTGGTTATAGGAAGGTGGGGTGTTAATGTTGAAGTTTAAAAACTGTAGTGTAAAGCACCCTTCTGGCAAGACAGTGATGGGGTGAATGATGGTGAAAGTTTTTCTTTTTCGGGTCACCCTGCCTTGGTGGGAATCGGCCAGTGTGTTAATGAAAAAAAAAAAAATAGTGAAGGTGGGTGCCAGAGGGAAGAGGAATGATGAAGTAAAAAGTGTTATTAGAGAGAAAATGTTGGCATTTCATCTTATGTAAAAATTTTATAAAGAAGGCAGTTTACATGGAGAAAGAAAAATAAAAAGATGTTAAATGTGTAGTGAGGGAGTGTAAAAAAGAAAAAATAAGAAAAGTTTTCAGTGTAATGTGTAAACAAACAAACAAATAATTTTTTTATTTCTTTATGCAGTAATAGAAAATGTAGTTTACACATAATAAAATATTGTTAAGAACAAAAGAAAGGCACTAGTATGCAGTGTATGCAGTACATTTTGGGATGTTGCTGGGAGGGTGAAGGGAGGGTGAGAAGAATGTTTTGAGAGAGAGAGAGAGAGAGCATCCAGATACATCCAGAGAGAGAGAGCATCCATTGCACTCTTAACATACTCACACATTAAGAGTGCATGGAGGCAAGTTGTTAGAGATTCTGAGTGTGAGCAAGATAACATTTATGAAGGAATTCAGGGAAACAAGTCAGCTGAACTGTTTCTGGTGGTGGGAGGTACAGTGCCTTCACTTTGAAGGCTGGGTGGGAATGCTGCAGTGTACTTCATCATCTGAACTGTGATATCTGTGCACTTCCAGACTAACAGCTGAGGAATGGGTGTGGAATGGTTTTCTTCTCTGGGTCACCCTGCCTTGATGAGTAATGGGTAATTTATTTGAGTCCACTGTTTCACAGAAATGTGAAATTACAACTTGTTCTCTGTAGGAGGGAGCTTAGGGGGAAAAGACCGCAATGCAGTATGATATCTCAAATCCTAAGTGACACTGGGAATTCTTGAAGTATGAGAATCGAGGTCACAATAGCTGTTGTCTGAGATTCTTTTGTTCAGTAGTGTTGAGGTTAATGGTGACAGTCTGGTACTCCCAGTTTGATATTTGAAGTCCAATGTTCTCTTATACTGAATGTTCTTTTGTGATAAAATATCAGCTTGCTTTGATAGACCCATAAGACTTAGGACCACAATATGTGATATTACAATCTGCATGATATCAGGATTCATTGTGAAACATGACTTAGGACCACATTATGTGGTATTATAATCTGTGTGACATCATGAGTCAGTGTGAGATATAAATAAATATCAGTGGTTGTTCATTGGTGCTTTGTGATCCCAGATCAGAGATTCGAATCCACATTGTTCATTTACAAACAATTTGTTTCATGATCATGAAACATTTCATCTTGCATTAATGGGCTGGAAAGGTATAATTTAAAAATCTTTTCTGCCTTCAGTGGTGTAGTGACGTTGAAGAAACGGTAATCTCAGATTGGTAGCTTGGGTTTACAGTATTCACTTACACACGGTGTTTATATTTTATAATAGATTAACCATTCCCCACCAAGGCAGAGTGAAGACACAAAGATGAAAACACATTTACATAACTTGTTTCATAGCTGTCTTAACAGAAGAGCACAGACTTCACAACTTAAATGATCTAGCAAGCTGTAAAATTCCCACCCTGATCAGCCAGACTGTGGCATCTAGGCCATCAGCCGGACTGTGGTACCTAGGTCATCAGGCAGACTGTGGTGCCTAGGTCATCAGCCAGACTGTGGCACTTATGTCATCAGCCAGACTGTGGCACTTAGGTCATCAGCCAGACTGTGGCACTTAGGTCATCAGCCAGACTGTGGCACTTAGGTCATCAGCCAGACTGTGGCACTTAGGTCATCAGCCAGACTGTGGCACTTAGGTCATCAGCCAGACTATGGCACTTAGGTCATCAGCCAGACTGTGGTACCTAGGTCATCAGCCAGACTGTGACACCTAGGTCATTAACCAGACTGTGGCACCTAGGTTGAACTGCATTCATCTAGGAGGTCCAATCAGAAACTGGGTTGCTGGGACGATATTCCCTGGACGCAATAACAGTTATCTTTCAAAGTGCAGACAGTGTGTTTCTTACCTCTGGGATTCAAGTCCAGATGAGTTGTTGAAATTGTGTCACAACAGACTGTACAACCATTCTAATACTGCATTTAGAAGTTTACTTGGCAACTACCAACTCTCTTATTTGGTTCAGCGTTTCATAAAACCTTCCCATCCAGGTGAATTCAGATTTTGTGTTATTGAAAAATATTCTATAAGGTAACTTTCCTACCAGGTGAATTGAAATTTTGTCGTTGAAAAATATTCTACAAGGTAACCTTTCCAACCAGGTGAATTAAGGGGTGTAAGCCTATACAGCGGTATTAACCTGTGGGTAATTAACCCTTTTCCAGGGAGTAACTACTTGGTGTCACTATATTTTTCTTTTATTTATGAAGGGCAGGGATTAATTAAAGTTTTGTCAAGTAAGCCCAAGTGCAACAGCACATTAAACGTTAAGTAACGCTTTGGTAGCTGGTCCACTGGCTGGTGGCCAGCCGGGATATTGACAAGACATTCCACTGAAGCATTATGCTCACTTTACCAAACATGAGACAGTCAGTGTTTATGGGGGATTTGTTCACTGTTTAACAGTGTGAAAACAAATTTTGAGTGATACAAATAATTATACTCTTAAGAGATATTATATAATTGTACTCTTAAGAGATATTGTATAATTGTACTCGTAGAGATATTATATAATTTTCCATTGTACATACATAGAGTGAAGGTAAATTTTAAAAACGGATATTTGTTAAATGTAAATAGTGTACTTTGAGTACTGTACGTAATTGTTTTCATTATGCTGGTTCTTCATGAAATGACTAAAATAGTCCCAGAGAATTATTGGCTAAGATGGAGCATTTCAGGTGGGAATTTCTGGTATAGACATGGGTAAAGGAGAGTATGAGTTAAAAAAAAAATTATATTTGCTTTATGAGTAGCTTCACGGCAATTTATTTACTCATTAAGTCTGATCACAGCGTGACCAGCAGCCAAGATCAGCCAGACCAGTAGCACTGATCATTGTGTGATCAACAGCACTGATCACAGTGTGATCAGTAGCATTGATCAGTGTGATCAGTAGCATTGATCAGTGTGATCAGTAGCATTGATCAGTGTGATCAGCAGCATTGATCATAGTGTGATCAGCACTGATCACAGCATGACCAGCAGCATTGTCAGCATTGACATCACAGTATAAAACTATAAATTAGTTGTCTTATTTTAGTAGTTCACTGACAGTCAGCACATTGATGTACAGGAGGGCCCCGCTTATACAGAAGGTTAGGTTCTGGGCTACTGTAGGGCCCCACTTATATAGGAGCTTAGGATCTGGGCTACTGCTGTAAAGTGAAACATAGCCTTTGTTCACTTTCAAATACATATTTAATCCTGATAACATGTTGACACTATCTAATATTAAGTGAGAAATATAGCTAGGCCTTTAAAATGCATATACAGTACACACATTAAGTTGCAGCGAGGAGAAGGCTGGAGGCAGTGGAGATGTCATGTCTGAGGGCAATGTGTGGTGTGAATATAATGCAGATAATTCGTAGTTTGGAAGTTAGGAGGAGGTGCGGGATTACCAAAACTGTTGTCCAGAGGGCTGAGGAAGGGTTGTTGAGGTGGTTCGGACATGTAGAGAGAATGGAGCGAAACAGAATGACTTCAAGAGTGTATCAGTCTGTAGTGGAAGGAAGGCGGGGTAGGGGTCGGCCTAGGAAAGGTTGGAGAGAGGGGGTAAAGGAGGTTTTGTGTGCGAGGGGCTTGGACTTCCAGCAGGCATGCGTGAGCGTGTTTGATAGGAGTGAATGGAGACAAATGGTTTTTAATACTTGACGTGCTGTTGGAGTGTGAGCAAAGTAACATTTATGAAGGGGTTCAGGGAAACCGGCAGGCCGGACTTGAGTCCTGGAGATGGGAAGTACAGTGCCTGCACTCTGAAGGAGGGGTGTTAATGTTGCTGTTTAAAAACTGTAGTGTAAAGCACCCTTCTGGCAAGACAGTGATGGAGTGAATGATGGTGAAAGTTTTTCTTTTTCGGGCCACCCTGCCTTGGTGGGAATCGGCCAGTGTGATAATAAAATAAACATTGGCCTTCTCCCACCAAGGCAGGGTGGCCCGAAAAATAAAAACTTTCATCATCATTCACTCCATCAGTATCTTGCCAGAGGTGCACTTACACTACAGTTATAAAACTGCAACATTAACACCCCTCCTTCAGAGTGCAGACACTGTACTTCCCATCTTCAGGACTCAAGTCCGGCCTGCTAGTTTCTCTGACTCCCTTCATGAATGTTATCTTGCTCACACTCCAGCACATTACTTACCTTAAAATATTTTCATCCTTAGCTTATAGTGAGTGGTAAATACATCTATTGTAGGAAGAATGGGTATAATTGAAAACTGTTGCATTACGAAATGCTGCAAAGCGAAACGCTAAAGTGAAGTGCTGCACGGCAAAGTGCTGTTAAGATATGTGCTCTAAAGTGAAGCAGTGCAAAGCGAAGTGCTCAAAAGTGAAGCACTGTAAAGCAAAACTGTGTACAGAAAAGCACTCTAAAGCAAAGAGCTGTAAAGCGGGGCCTGCCTGTATTGATGAACCAATTTATTTAGAGTAACTCTGTATAACTACATGTACAGTAATGGATGATGGTTTCTTAACATCGACTACTAACTAATTTATTGTTGACTAAAATATTTTAATAGTTTTAATCAAAGAAAAGTAAACAATATCGGCCTTAATCCAAGTGCAAGTTCAAATCATAATGACTCAGGTTTAAGGTAAGATGTTTGG